AAAAGTGTGTATTGTATTGACTCAACATGGTGCATCAATAGAAGAAATAGGAAATGTTATGCTTAAAGAACTAGGTATGTACATGTACATATTAAGTCAATCAATGTTAACCTTTTGTGTTCACAATAGGATACTTACCATCCTCCTCCTCCTGCTATTGAAGGAACAAAAAATTAATTTTTGCACAGTATAATTTTGTAGAATTTTTTTCACTTTATTATTTGACAAATACCCTGTAAGCTTGTCCATTTAAGGTGGCATGCAAGTCTATTGTATGTGTGTTTTGTCATTAATGTCTTTATAATAGTTATTATTCATTAGTTGTTATCATGTTATGATTGTAGATATTATCTACTACTTTTAGTATAGAGCTATTTTTGGTGAAGCTATTTTTAGTAGAGCTATTTTTGGTACTCTTGGTGTGTCATTTGTGTGGGAGTTATCTTGGCTGTTTTTCTCTTTGGTAAGTTTAAGACAGTTATTCAATATGCTGTTAAGTGTCAAGTTATGAATCTCTACTATATAGACCAACTGTCAGTCCATACAATGGAAGTCAATACAATGCCAAAGTTGTTGGTATATACTCTTATTATAAAGGCCCTCTTCTCTCTCCTCCTCCTCATGTCAGGCGATGTTGAACTCAACCCAGGACCTGGTAAAGATAATCATAATATTGTGTGCCATAATTATCGTTATTTAAACTGTAGATCCAAAGAGCATACTACAGAAGTATTCAGCTAACCTATCCAAAGCAATATCAGCTGATGTTAACAATGTAGTTAATGCATTGTTTGCCAAGAAGCTAATACCACAAGGAACTAAAGACTATGTAGTGACAGTAGTTGGTGTAGCTAATGCTGATAAAGCTGATAGAGTAATAAATGATGTCATGGGTCAGTTAGAAGCTGTTCTTGATAAAAGACAGTATTTAGTTAAAGTGTGTAATGTATTGATTGAACAAGGTGCAGCAATAGAAGAGATAGGAAATGTTATGCTTACAGAACTAGGTATGTACATGTACATAAGCTAATCAATGTTAACCTTTTGTGTTCAATAGGAGAAGACACTACTACTGTCCAGCCTCCTACTCCAGATGGATCTAGTATTGCTAGTGAAAGCTCTGGTTCTGTACTGAAAGCCAAAGGTATAATTATAATTATTATTAAATGCTTTACAGGGACAGGTAGCCGAGAAGGTACAAGCCAAAATGTTGTCAAATTTTACATTCAACTGACAAACAGGCCTCACTAATTATTTTCTTATAAATTTTTGGGATCCTGATACAGTTAGGTGCCTCACAAATTTCCCCCTCTGCCCTCCCTTTCTATAAGTGGGCCAAACTTAGCTGTAAATTCCAGACACCTTGGGACCCAATAATACTGTCCTGATTATGAACCTGTCGTTATTTCAGTCTGGTTCTGCCTCTTTGTTGTGCAGGTGTGGCACAATGAAGAGGTGAGGCCAGACTAGAGGTTCATCAATGCATATTTATATTGTATTGGGACTGATACTACCTGTCCTGATTATAGAGATGTCCTTATTTTAGAGTATCCATAACAGCAAGAGTCTATACTGTAAAGTGCTTCAATGTGCATTGCAAGCATTTCAGTTCCCGGCGTGGTTTGATCTGGATTGATGTGCTTTGATTTATATTCATGAAGTAGTTATAATAAGTACATGTAACAGTGTGAACATGATTAATGCACATTGATTCAGCTGTGTCAGTAATGGGCATTGAAGTACATCAAAAATGGTATCAGTGTGTATTCATTATGCTCAATTTCTTAAATCCACAGGCAAGGAGCTTGATATGAAAACAGTCACAAAGATATTTAGTTCTTCTGCTCACCATTACAGACTGATAGGGATTGGATTGGATGTAAATGTGGCTGATCTGAAAGATGCAGGGGATGCAACTAATAATCTTATCACAGTATTCCAGAGGTGGTTTGATGCCAATAAAGATGTCAGTTGGGATACTTTAAAAGAACTTTGTGACAACTATCCTGATCAACTGGGCAAAGCAAAGGCTAAGCTAAATAAAGAACTTGGTTTATAGTCCTTAAAAGAATGATAGTAGCTGCTCATTTAAAAAATTTTTTTTAATTTCTTTTGTGTTATCTTTTCAATAATAATTTTGCATTTATAAAAAGCACCTCCCACGCATTTATGACCTAGTTAATTAATAGTAAAGCCACGCCCCTCATCCAGTCTT